AATAATAAAATAACAAAAAATCAGAAATCAGGGAGACTCACGGCAATGAGGGCCGGGTTCCTCTGGTCCCCGCCGGCCGCGGAGCTGTGCTGCTCGCCGTTGATCCCACTCCTGCCACCCGCAGATCCGTTGGAGATCAGCTGCTGGTGATAGTAGTCCGCCGGAGGGGGCGCTGCAGCGCTGGCCGCGGGAGCCGGGCCGCCGCCAGCCGCCGCCGCCGCCGCCGCCTTGCCGTGCTTGCCGCCCTTCCGCGCCGCCTGGCCGTGCTGCACGAGGTTGAGCAGCTGCAAGGTGCTGTCCCGCTCGCGGTCCGAGCTCTCCGCGCGGCCGCGCTCGTAGCGCCCCTCGCAGCTGAGGTGGTGCTGGCGGCAGACGGCGATGCGCGCCCGCAGGCGCTCCACGATCGCGCTGTGCACCCGCGGCGCCGCCGCCGCCGCCGCCGCCACCGAGCCGCCGCCTCCCAGCAGAGCCGGCGCTTGCGGGGGAGCCGTGTCCCCCATCACGGCTGCCCGGGCCGCCGTCGCTCCTCCCGCTCGCTCCCAGATACTTCGCAGCGTGGAGAGCGCCCCTCGCTCACGGCCACATGGGTGAAGGGCCCGCTCCGGATCCTCGTTGCTCGGCAGGGCGACTCTCCCAACCCCCCACCGATGAGTTATTGGGCTCTCTGACAGCCGGGCGGGAGAGATTTTGACAGATTTAGCGCAAGGGGTGCGGGGAACCCTGCAACATCCCTGGGACAGCGGGTCAGCTAGCGGGCCAGCGCAGCAGATCTCCAGCGGGAAGGAGGAAACTGATGGGATCCGCGCTAGACTCGCTAGCAGCGAGCGTAGAAGCAACGCCGGCGGAGCGACGGAGGGGGGCTGCTGCTTGTAAAAACTCTCCCCGCCACCCCCCGCAGTGCAAATCGAGGGTGTTTAAAGCGTTGTTGCAATGCTTTAAGGAGCAAGACTTGTTTTTAAAAATTGAAATCAAAAGCCCAGGGTATTCGAAAAGTAGATTTTTTTTTGTTTTAAAGAGGAGAAAAAAAGGGAAGTTGAATGGGCAAAGAATTAAAAAGGGCTTTCCCTCGACTGCGACTTGCGATTGGGAAGGCTGGCGAAAATTTGGTGGGGAAGCGATAAAAGGCAGATGCCTTCTGAGAAGCCCAGTGAGTGGAAAAAGGAGCGTGTAGATGAACAACACGAGGTTGGGTAAACGCTTTTCCAAAGTTGTTTGCAAGTTGAACGTGCAAATCGGGAGGGGGTGGGAAGGGAGAAGGGTTCACAAGAGTTTAAAATACTTTTGCTTATTTTCCTCTCTCGCCTGTCTCCTTTTTAACCCTGCTTCGCACGAACTCCTGTTTAAAGTCGTAGCTTCCTCTTAAAAGAAGAAAAATAATAATCCAGGAGGATTCTGACTGCTTCCCAGTGTCATGAAACGGGTCGCTTAAATCCTGCAGCTTTCCAGTGAATCCAAGCCCGCGGTGGAGACAAAAAGAAACAAAAAACGTGCTTTTGTGGGGAAAAAAAGGTTTCTCCCTGCCCGGTTAAATAAAAGGGCAAGCTTCAATCTCGATGCAAAAGCCCCAATGCAACATCCTTGCGTGACTCGCACGCCCGGAATCTCACCACGGCACCGAGAAACGCGCGCGGGTGACGGTGGTGGGTGAGAAGGGCAGAAGGAGAAAAGATCCGAAATCGCAACTCTGTTCGAAAGCAGAGAATTTATAAACCATCTAGAAACTTACAGGCTTCCAGCTTTTTGCCCCCAGAGCAGTCCGACGCGGAGAGGTTGCTCGATGTATCTGTATATTCCATTTCCCCCCAGACTTGGGATCCTGGCTTTGCGGGTATTTCTTGTTGCAGGGCACGCTCTCCAACGCGGCCGACCGTGGGGGCGATGCCGCCTCCCCCTCCCCGCTTTCGGAACTTAGAAGTAGCCGGCCGTGTTTTCCCCTTTCGTTCGTGTCGCGTTTAAGCCTCCAGACCGCGCCGCCTGCACGCCGCGGGGCTCGCAGATACACAAGATTTCATTGTGCTCGCATAGGAACCGAAGGGAGAGCCAGCCAGCCAGGCAGCCAGCACCGTAAGACTAAGTGGGGGAGCCCCAGCGGAAGGCTGGCATGGCTGCGCGGAAAAGTCTCCGCGCTTGAAAGGAGGGGCGCGGAGCCCCCTAGCGCCGCAGCGCCTTCGGTGCAGGGATCGCGGTTTAGCATTAAAAAATCCCGTTTCACTTTAATTGACGAGCGGCTGCCCACGGAGGGTAGTCCTGCTCGCCTTTTGCTGCCGGAACAACCAACGGTTTTGCGGCACCCGAAAGACGTAATCAACCTTTCTGGAGTCCGCTTCTTCGTGCATCTCATGAATCGGGCATTAGTCCACGAAAGTTCAAGCCAGCTTTTTTTAAATTATTTTTTTTGGTAAGGCTATATTGAACAACACAACACTCTTTGCTTTCCCACGTTACGCTGCGTCTTGCACTCACAGGAATGGTTAGGGGATGTGCATGATCTCAGAACATGGGAAAGCACTGTGCGGCTGCAAATTCAAACACGCGGATCAGGAAGCAGACAGGAGCTGCGCTTTTAGGGAACAGGTCAGAAAAGCCTCCCCCAGGCACATGAATCGTGTGTAGGCTGCGTAGGCTCGTCACGTGACATGGGAGTATGCAGTAACTCCATATACTCGGGGCAGGAAGCTATGATGCACCGCAGCTTCCCCTCCTATCTCCAAGTGGGAAGATGGCAAGTCTATTTATCACATGTGACGGATAACCTGAGGAAATTATGTGGCTTCCCTGTGGAGAGTCCCAGCAGGAAAACAGGATTAAGGGTGCAATCCTATGCATATGAAGTCCAATCCTTTACTCACACAGCTCCCCAACCAGTACGGCTGCCTGGGGAATGCTGGGACCTCTACAACTTTTTTCTGTGTCAGCATGCAGTGTGTCATGCATGCACTGGAATGAGCGCTTACATCCATATATGCCCGCCCGCCCCTTGAGATCTGCGGGAGAGGCCCTTCTCCGGGAACCCTCCGTGAAAGAAATTAGGAGGGTGAGTACCCGGAGGAGGGCTTTCTCTGCGGTGGCGCCTAAGTTATGGAACGCGCTCCCCAGAGAGGTCCGCCTGGCGCCCTCGTTATTTGTTTTTCGGCGCCAGGCGAAGACCTTTTTATTTAAGCGACATTTTAATTGTTAACAGTATTTATTTTATCTGGCCAGGGCGGCTTATTTTATATTGGTATTTTCGTATTTTTAACTTAATGTTTATATTTTTTAATTTAATGTTACAATTATTTTTTAACTTATTGTTGTAAGCCGCCCCGAGGCTTTGGCGAATGGGGTGGCATAAAAATGTTTTAATAAATAAATAAATAAAATAAATGTGTCTTCAAGGTGTGGGCAACTTTTGCATTATTATTTCTGGCATTGCCAGAAAGCCTTCAAGAGAAACAAGATACTTGGTCTGCCATCTAACTGTTGTAAACCATAGATTTCCTCCAAGCATGAGAAACATATCCCATCTTTCTAGTTCAGCACTGAAACCACTCAAGGTAACCTACAACATTTAATTTAAAATCAACAAATCATTAAAACATGACAAAATATGATGGTAGCAACACATAAAAATGAATGAGAATCAACACCACAGTGCACAAACTACTCTGCAGGTCAAAACACCTCTAAATTAAAGCATTTTCGGTGGACTGCGAAATGTCAGTATTATTGCATTGTATTCACACCCATTTTCCTCCTCTTGCAAGGAACTCAAGGCAGCTTACACCCTTGTCCTTCTCACCATTTGATTATTTTTCTTTAATGAGGGCACCTCATGGATTTTCCATGGTGAAAAATTCCATACAGGGAGTGCCAACAACTGAAAAAGCCTTCTTGAAAGTCCTTCCGATAGGAGGACTGATCTCTATTTGGCAATAATGCAGCAGTTGCTAAAACAGGCAAGAGACCTAATCATGTTGAATGACTTTGACCTCAAAAGTATATGTGACTAAGAACTATTTATTTAAAAACCTTCAAAATGAAAAAAAATTGATGAAGCACTTCATGCTCCATCCACAGGATTGTATCAGTATTTTCTGACTTTATTTCAAGTTGGGTGTTACTATCCCGTATTAGTAGAAGCTGCTGAAATGAGAGTGTTTACTGGAATCACAGTACCTTGCTACCTTTTTCAGCCTTGTGTGGAACCACAGACTTAGCCATTTGAAGTGAACGTTTTGCACAGTGTAATTGATATCTTGCACTTGCGTATCATATGACTGGATCTTTAATAATGAAGCCTCCTGAGTATGTATTATGATGGCCTATCTGAAGGAGTTAGAATGACACTTGTGAAGGAAAGAGTGTGCTCCTCTCCAAACTTTTCTCAGACCAGTCTGGATGTCTATTCTGATAGTATCACTATTGGCTAAAGCCATCTCCCAGTCAATGTATTAGGATTACATCTTCCTTCAACTCGTTCATTGACCAGCAATGAACTTGCAGGTTGCATTTTTCATTCCTGCATGTCTAATGACAGTCAACTATACGAAGCCACTTCAGGAACATACAAGAGGCAGGATGGAATAGAATAGTGTCTATTACAGCTCTACTGTGAAAAAGTATTTTTTTAGGAGAGAGGAATTATGCAACTAGATACCCATAGAAAATGAATCAGTCACTGGTAGGAAAGTAAGGAGGCACTTAAGGAAAAGCAAAAGCCGCATTCTGTGCCTCCCAATCTCCCACTTTTAGGGTCATGAACCACTGCCTTGTGAGGCTATCATGAAAAGGAAGGGGGTAAGGTCCTCTCTGTCATCTTTCCCTCCTCCCACAAATTCATGGGCGGCTTCATATGCAATGCCTCACAGGCTAATGTGACTTTACTTCGTCACATTTCGATTTCCTTATACGCAACATATTCCTATTTAGCAAGTGCAAATATGGGTGTGGTTTCTGTACACCAAACTCACCTTGTTCAAACACAGCAAGCAAGTTGCAAAAATCCACCAGCACCAACCACATACACAGTATTTCAGACTTTATTTATCACAATGAATCTGAACATAAGGATTCTGAATGGGGAGTGCAGGCTGTTCTGCACTGATGCCCCCAGTACCTCTTGCACTTGCACGCCACTCCTTTAGCAGTTGTTGTCCTGCTATCGGAGCAGGCGCAAAACAGGAATGGAAGCACAGCCAGTGATTCTGAAATTAACAGAATCTCCCTGCTTAGAACAGCTAGACTGGTGAATGCAAGGGACTGGTGCCTTACTTATGCAACTCCTGTCCTGCTGCTTTGCACCTTACATGATTGGTGCAGGTCTTTAACAATATTTGCTCATCCTGGCCTTTCCCAAATAGTAGTTCACGTGCATGTTCCACTCTCAATTAATTCAAGTTCATTTAATTTTCCTTAATGTTGATTGTGCTGATTTGCACATGTATGTGCCTGTCTCCGATGCCTTCTTTGTAAGCCATGTGTGAAGGTACAGTCCTGAAAAGTGGGATATAAATGTCTTCAACTGAAGGTATGCCTTCAATTAAGCAAGAATGTAAGAATTGCCTTGCTGAATCAGACCAAAACTCCATCTAGCTGAACATTCTGTTTTGAGACAGGCAGCTCTAGCATTTGAGCCGTGGGTCTTTCCCAGCCCTACCTGGGAATGCCAGGAAATAAAACATGGGGCATGTATTCTGCTCCAGGACTATTCTCTAGTGACACTGGAAGTGAATAGAGACGAAAGGACACATGCTTAAGAGAGGAAAGCACATGATTGTTAAATAGCATAGGTTACAGTCCTATAAGCTGAGCTCCCAACAGGCAGATGGCTCCAAGTCTGGAGCCCTCCACCTATCCTATGTCCTGCTGGCAAGAGCCAGGTAAAGTAAAAAGAGGTGATTTTGCCTATATTTAAAATGCAAAAGCAGCTAGACACTCAAACCTATTAAGCTGATGTACCTTTGGGAGGGTGGAGAGGGGAATAGAGAACCCATAGGTCATAATGTATCATGGGCTTTCTTCTCTCTCCCTGCCAGCATGTCCTTTACTCCTCTGGCTTGTCTCATGAGGTTGCAGTTGTGATCATCATAAAAGCAGCCTTCTGTTGCAGCTAGGATGATTGGATTTACTCCTCTGTGTTCAGTGTTCTCTCTAAGGCCATGGAAGAGGTGATCTGCCACTATTTATGAAGGCATATGGCCTCAGGATAGCTCTCCCTTTGTATGAGTATAGAAATCATATGCACCCTGTGCTGGCCACATTTGTATCCCAAATCTCCCTAAACAGCAACATAGCCCAGTTCTCCTATTCACATCAAGTCAGAGCATCCATCCTATATATTAACTCTGAAACTGACACTGCCGAGCTTCTTAGACTGGCTGGTCCATCTTAAATATTAAAAATGAACACTGTTAAAATGTCGATCCTTATATAGCCAAAAAATGCCGTCCAGGTACAAGAAATGTAAGCAGGCTTTGGAAGTTCATAAAAATTGCATGTTTAAGGCAGAAAACCTTAAAGGTGGGGACTGCGCCACCCACTCAGTGGAATACTGGTGTAGGTTTATATGTGGATAATTACAAAAATTGGCCATGGATAGGAATGAAATTGACTATCCTGGAAGATGGAAAGAGGGCCTTGTTGGTACCTTAGACAGCAAGATTTCATTACAGGCCCCATTCATCAATATTCTAACACTAAATCCATTATTGAACCCCCAATTCATACAGCAACTGTCCATCGAAGTCCCTGCATCACAGTCCAAAATGGAAGCAAGACCTAACTGGTATCAAACACGTAACAGTGGTCCAGCACAAATGAGAAAAAAATATTGGAAAGCTTCTTTTCAAATTCTACAGAAATTATTAAATAATGCTATTTGTTTTGCCATGATTCAGTATTGCTCTCAATGTGGATTGTTATTGTTTTTGTTTTGTTTCAGAGGATGTTTGACATTTTTTTATGCCTCTGAGCCAAACATGCAGGCTAAATGCAAGTGCATGAATTATGGGCCTCCAGGATTCATAAACAATGATAGCCTGCTGGCTTTAAAGAGACAGATAATCTCTTACTGCCCTGTCTCCCAGAAAAAAAGTGCTTGATGCTTATAGCAGTTTTTAAGTACTGTGCTGGGAAAACAATTGCATCGTATAGTCTGTGGGGTTCTTACTATATAAACCTTTCTTCTTTCAGAATGAAGTCAAGCATTTCTCACACACTGGCACAATCTACTTTGGCATTGCAGTGCAGAAAAATTCATTTCCTGAATGAACTCTTGGGTTATTCAGATTGGTTTTTCATTTGAGAGCATTACATTGAACTGCCTGGAAGGGGTACCTTCCACTTTAAAAATCCTGCAGATAATTATTCTGATAATTAAAATAAAAGCTGAAAAATAACCAAACTAACTAACTTAAATGTAGCCATAAGAATATGCAAATATATTATTATAATTATCAGGTTTGGGAATAAAAAAAGAACACTTGCCACAATGTGGCATTATCTTCAAATTCTATCACAAGTCTAAAGCAAGCACATTTAAGTTCTTAAAAACCCTTCTTCAGAAAATGAATGCACAAACATTTAGTCCATTTTTTCATCCTGGAAGAAATCTGCGCTGTCCATGTAGCCTTCCAGCTCAGCATATTGCTTCAAAACAAAGACAAAACAAAAAAAATGCAACATTTTAGTAAATTCCAGTTGAAGCTTTTAGGGGACTTGTTGATATTTCACAATCGGGACATAAGAAAGTAGGTCCATAAGAAAAGCCATGCTGGAGCAGACTAAGGGGCCATCCAATGCAGCACAGTACCAACAGTGGGGAAGCAGCTGTCCTCAGGGTCCCCCTGAGCAGAATGAATGCATTGCAGACAAAGCATTACAGGGGATGAATCCTGGCAATCCCAAACCCTGAGCTTTCGGGTTTTTAAACAATATAAGCCAGCTTGCTATGGAGACATTAGTGAATTGACAACTGGTTAGAAATATTCTAACAAGGAAAGATCAGACAGGATGCAGAACCTTCTATGAAGTGCCACTTGTCTATCTTTGCCTTCTGAATTCCACTGTCCCCAAGAATGCTGTAACTGTACTGAAAACAAGTTAGGAGACCTTTGCAGAAAATTCTTCCCAGTTTAAAACCGAACATATTTTCAGGCAGTGTATTTAGAAGTATGGTGCTAGTTACTTACTCTGTTGGTAAACTAGGTAGGGAAAGACCCCAGTTTTTTTTCCTGCATTCCTAGCAAACATATGGTTCCATTAATCATTCGAGCAGGCAAAGATCTGTGTTGGACTCATTTCCAAGCAGGTGTTCCTTTCAGGCAACTCTTCTAGAACTACAGTTTGAGTTACATCCAATTAGTCTTCATCCACCCCACAGCAGCATGCATAAATCCCTCTCTTGCATTGATTTTACCTGCCCTCAGAGCAATGGAATGTGCCTAACAATCAGTTCTACTGTACCTTATCAATCCAGCCATCTTCATCCAGCTGGCTGAACACTCTTTCCACCGAATCTTTAACGCTTCCATCCTCAGAACCATCATTCTTCATAACCAAGCAGCAATCCTGATATAGCTTATATTTAAAATGCCTCAGATTATGATAAACACGGGTACGGTTTCCACACACGACACCAACTTTTAACAGCTGTATCAAAAGGAAAGCTCTTTTACTGGGTCAGTCTTGGATAATAATGGAAGATACAATCAATTAGACAATTAAACCCCTGCACTTCTATTTTTACTAGGCCACAGTGTCAGCTGAGCAGTTGCTATGCTAAGAATTGCAATGCAGGAAGCCACCAAGTGATCACTTGTTTTAATCAGTTGAAATAGTGGTGCCACTGGGGCTGGGAAAAATTTGAAATAATAAATTTAAAAAGTTAAATCTTTGTTGGAATGCATTTAATACGTGCAAGTCACAAAGCATACCCTGTTTGACACCTACTGAATTACAAGGGAATGAAAAAAATGCCCAGTTATTGAATATAAACACCACAAATCCTAGTTTATACAGTTGAACAGTCATACCAGTGCAAATGTAAAAAGTCACTTCATTTTAAAAACTTTGGGAATGCAAAATTAGGAGCCCCATAGGTAAACCAGCCTACTTAACACTGCACATATGCACAGCAGATGTTGTTAACACACAATTGGAGTTTGATAGAATGCTGCTTTGAGGCATATAATTCTCACATTACTAAATCACCACAGTCTCTAGAGTGCACCAATTGAACTGCTATGTTTAACATACGCATTTGTACAACTATCTAAGGCTATCTATGTGTACATAGAGTCAGGAAAATGATAGCTAAGTTATACATCTTTTTTAAAGACTGGCATGCTAAGTCAGGCCACCTCTATTATTGTCAAACTACTGGGGGCTTTGAATACAATTTATCAAATTATCAGAGAGAGAAACAGACGTAGTTATCAATCTGAAGATTTTTACATATTAAAAGCCTCCAAACTACTGTTAAGCCACTAAATTTGAATTCTCCAGTAGGTTAGTTTGAGATGGTACAAGCAGGACAGATCTTTTTTTAAAAGCAACTTTTAACACAATTTTAGATTATGATTAATTTTTGCAAGTATACTACAAGGGCTAGCAAGGAAACTTATGGTAACCCAGGAAGATGAAAAATCCTTGGTGTGTTTAGTGAGAAGTGTGGAACATACTAGGCATACATTTTTCATGAACATTATATATGTTTAAACAATAGGCACATGGCACGTTGAGAACTGAATACATAGACATCAATACATGAATGTGAGTTTTTGAAACTACATTTGAAAATCTATGAATCAAACCAGATGGGAAAAAGACAGAACTAAGAAAAAAATTACCACCAGCAAAAATACACCATATTTTAGCTTTTGAATTCTTAGCAGCTTTGGAGCCAAGGAAAGGAAATTTACCTGCTTATCATGTGACATGAAGTCATCTACTTCCAATGTTTCACTATTGTATAATTTTCCTGACAGATGTACTGTAAACTTACAGTACCTCTGAAGTTCACAGGCTTGACAGGAACGTTGTACTGGCTTTCCCAAAACTATGCGGACATCAGGGTAACTATCCACTCGTTCCTGGAAAAAGATACTTGGTTGACATTTGCTTGGTCATTTGTTCCAGTGAATCAATTACTGCATTTCAGTAATATTGTGCATTCATATAAAAATGATCTTGGGCACTTATCCTTGATTTCCTGCTACCTCCCCAGATATAAATACAAAGCTATTCATAATTATTCTCTCCTTTAAGTGAAGCATTCATTTAAATGTAATTGTCTATGGGCTAGTTCATTCATTTATTGGTCCATGAATTCACTGGTAGTATTCAATATGTCCTGGAAGTACAGGGGTAGCTAAAAGTCTCACTTTCCTATACACCGGGTAACATGACACATTCCTAGATGGTAAGCAAAAAACACAGAACAACTCCCTCAAATATGGCTACCTGTAATGAAGGAGGATTTCAAAGTAATCTGACAATGTGTCTATGGTTATGTGCGCTGTATATGCCTGACAATGTGTATAAGGTTATGTCTGCAAGACTGAAGAATAGGTGTGATAGAGGCTCATGTGCCAGACATAGGCACAGTTATTCTAGCTAAAAGCAAATCCAGTTTTAGACCTTCTCCACTATAGGACCTCCCCACATTTTATTTTATATTAAACCATTTACACTTTGTGTTACAGACAAAAAGTTACAACAACTAAACAATTTAACAATTTAAACCTCTCTCCATAATGTAAAACACAAAAACAGCAAGAGAAAGGCACAATGCACAATCAGAAATATTTAAAATATTAGGAAGTACAGGCCGAGCAAGTAACAGTGACACTCCGAAGAAGAAAGGGTGCACCAACCCATTATAGGGAGTTCTATTGTTGATGAAGTTCAACAGGCCTCCCTTGGAAAGGAGTTCTAGAGCTTTGGCACAGTGACCAAAATGACCTGCTCCATAGTCTCTTTTCTTATTACTCAGAGGGTCCTGGGACAATGCAAGAGGCCTTTGAGGGCAGGATCTGACAAGAGTAAATGGCTCTTCAAATATCTTAGTCCTAAACCGGCCTTCCTTTAAAAGTCATTATTTGCATCCAGAAAGAAATGGGATGTGAGTGCAACTATTTCAACAAAACAGTCTGATATCCTCTGTTAACAATGGGGTTTACCCCCAACAGAGACTGCCCAACTTTTAGTAAATGGTGAAAGCATTTGTGAAGGGATAACTGTTAACTGATATTATGCCACTGCTAGACGTGTAAGGGCACCTTTATGTTTTCCTGCAATGGTTTTCTGTTTTGGCACAGCTCTTTACGGTTGTATATATTTCAACCATTGGCTTTCTATTACATATATGACTGAAGATAATGTAGTGGATATAATAAAATTGTGTCTAGAATTATAGCAGTTCAACAAAAATAATAAATCAAAGGACCAAGACAAAAACTTATACCTTATATCGTTCTTTCCAGCGACTTCTACTGAGTAAATTATCAAGACGAGGTTGAACAAAACGGTCATCCAAGTAATGGAGGGAAGTCAGCATATTCTGTGCATACTTCTTTTGTCTTTTCCCCTCTATTGGAAAAGGGGAAAATGTCATTAAAAGTTTGGTTATCCTCACATATTTAAAAATAATACCACACTAATTCAATCCAACTACAAGATCATTAAGGCTGAAATCCTATACTCACTTAGTGGGGTATAAGTGCCACTGAACTCAATGTGATTTGCTTCTTAGTAGATGTGCATAGTATTGCTCTGTAAAAGGTTATGAAAAATAAATTTTAAAAGTCCTCCTTTTCTTACCATATAAGGAGCTCAGGAAAGTATCATCAACTGCATTGATGAGAAAAGCTTTTACAACTCTTTGAAAATGGACAAAATGATCAACGCGAGACACTGTGAAAAAAATGAATATTCATTAGTATATCTCCATACCAGGCAGATAATTTACAAAGGAAGTTCAGTTCCTTACATGGAAATCAACATATGAAGGTCCTCCAATAAATGCAATATTATGATGCTACAGAGATCAACGTTTTCTAGCTTATGTTAACCTTACAACATGGTATGTGCTTCTCCAACAGTGTGCATGACAGAGCTTGCTCTTTCCCTTGCGGCTGGCTTTCATTCTTCTCAGAGTTTTCCTGATCCAATTCTTCCCCTTCCTCCTCATCAACTATGAAATCCTTCATGCTGTTGGCCTCAGATGTGTCATTGGAATCATCTAGTATTATCTCATCATCAGTATCCTAGTGACATTAAAAAGCAAAGAGTCTTACTTAAGTACTTCACCTAAGTGCATTTGCATCAGCATCAACAATTTTTATGTCGATTTAAGATTTTGTTAAAAAACCTTTATGCATTTCTATAGACATAAGACAGTATATTGATATATGCCATTTTGATTTTCAGTAACTGGATATAGGGAGTGATCCTAAGGCCCCTAGACAATGAAGGCCATAGAAGTTTTTGGATTCTCAGCTCCAAGGCGGGGGATAGCACTCTGACCTCAGGAAAGAAGAATCAAAGCTCTGGCTGTACCCCCTCACAACTGAAAGAGAAACAACCACGCCGGGTGCTGTCTGACATCAGGAAAGCAACCTGAGAGGAGCAAAATTGGCAACTTGAGAAAGGCTAGTATAAGAGGCACTGTGGTACTCTCCAGCCCTTTTTCCCCACTCCAAGATGTTTCAGTAGATAAATGAAAAAGCTTGTCCAGCAACTATTTGGAGAAGAGGATGGGAAGGTGAAGGTGAAGATCCCCTCCACTCCAGGGCCGTCTTAACAGCATTATGGGCCCTGGGCAAAGCAGTGCACTGGGGCCCCTACGACAACAACTACTACTGTTAATTCTGGAAGTTTTCCAATTTTCCAAGGGTTAACATACACAGATTAGTATGGGGCCCACGGGCAAGTGCCCATCAGGCCCATGCGTGAAGACGTTCCTGCTCCACTCCTCTGCTTGCTCTGCATTGGCCACCCATAAGCCTCCAAGTACAGATGCTTACAGGTACTCAGTTGGACTGCATCCCAAGTCAATTATAACATTTAAGGATAAAGAAAAAAGTTGATTGGTAACTTTGGATTTAAGAAACATATACTGCACTTAAAAATAAATGTACACTTTTATTTAAGTAATTCAGAGAAGGAATGCCTTATTGATTTATGTATATAATACACATTATACTACTCTTTCTTTATGGTGTGAAAAAGTTGTGGGATGATTGAAATAGAAGAATTTTTAAATGTGTATATAATCAAACCAGCCAACACACCTTATAGCACTTGCACAGGCTAGTAAACCATGCCCACTTTTATCAATTGAATTCGATTCACAATGGCAAAATAATTTTTAAAAATTGCTTTTAAAGTTCAGCTAACTCACCCTGGATTGCAAACTAGGGTGAAGTTACACTATGGTCCAGCTACTATCTTATTGTCATAAACATACAGAAGCCAAGTCAAAATTACTTCCAGGTCAGGAAACAGGCTTAGCATTCTGAGTTTCAAAAATGAATGCATCTCTTTCAGTTTTGTTGATTTCAGCATTTCCAAACAAACCTCATGAGTACAAGTTGACCTGTTTGCATACAACCTATGGTTAACCCATGACGTATTGTGCCTCCCCATGGTTTGTCTGGTTGATGAATGGACAAACCACGCTTGTTTTCTCAAACTCCGGATTGTTTGTTTCCCTCCTCGTTGCCTGCTTCTTTCCTGGGATCCAAATGTCTCTGCAGTGCTATAGTACTAGAATGTAGAAGATTCTGGTTGATTTTATCATGCCTGTGTATATGAACAGAAAATATTCTGCAGATGAATTCAAATGTACCTTAACATGTTCGTTAATACAAGCTGAAGCCGATCGCCGTCGGGACAGTTCCTTCAGTTTCATTAGTCTTTTTTCTTTTCTGTTTGCTGCTTCTTCTGCAGGTGTTGTGTGAACTTTCTGGTTGACAGACAAGTCTTCCTCATCTATTATGCAACTGCGTTTAGCAAACACTTTCCTAACGATATCGCTATCATCACTTTCGTCACTGTCATACATTACAGATAACCGAGATCTCTTGCGCTTCCCAGGGTTGATGTGCTCTTCTTCCACGTCCTCTGCTGTTGCACCATCACAACCTGTCTTATCATCTGAAAGTCCACCTGCATTCACTGCAGGTTCTTCCTCATTTTTGTGAAGGATGGATTCATCCTTTCCTTTTTCATCTGCATCATCATCTGAACTTGTTTCAAATTCCTTTTCTGATGGTGATGTAAGTTCATCATCTTCTTCTTCACTATCGAGCAATCTACTTCTCCTCTTGGTCCGCTGCCAGTCAACCCGAGATTTGGCTACTGGTGTTTCTGCTCTTGTGCTTCTCCTTGTTTCGTATCTTCTGCTTATAGAATTTGTTTCCATGATGACTTACTAAAAAGAAAAGGCCAAAAGTGAATTCATGTTATGAATCACCTATTTCTCTTTGTCTTTATATTTATATTTTCCTGTGTAGAGAAGCAAGGCCCAGAAAAAGAAAAGGAGTGTTATTTTGTTCTGTTCAAGCTCCCAACCCATGGCTTAAATGTAAAAACTGGACATTAAGGCAAAACAGAAAAACCTCTTAAGGAATATTCTTACTTTCAGTAGAAAGAAACATTTATAAGTGGTGTTTGTTGAAGCCAGTACACATCTTAGTAATTGCAGTGTCACATTGGGACTATATTTGGTGACATTACAAAACAAACATCATTTTTGTGCTGAAAAAGTACTGTTGCAGAATATATAGTATCTTTAGACAATTAATCCAATCTTGGGTGAATTAGCTAATGTTCTGAGAATTGCCGCATGGTAGCAAGACCTTGGTATAACACAAACCGACTCCTTTTCTTCTTACTTGCATTAGATTCCTCAGTCTTCTGCATCAAATGAAATAAACTGATGTTTGAAAATACATAAAACACAGTGAAGGATCACATTTATGTAAAGTGTTATGAAGCTTGCTTTATTCATGCAAACCATCCATTTTTGAACTCCGTAAAGGTCTGAGTAAAAGTTCAGACAAAGAGGTTATAAATCTTTCAAAAACTGATACTGAGTAAAGAAATAAACTTGAGTTATGCTGTAATTTTCAAAAATATTACCGAATGGAATAGGATAAAGTTCACATAAATATTGGTTCAAGAGATTAACTGTAGACAAAATTAGCTAGCACATTTGTATCCTTTGAGAGTGTCGTGCAACCACTGCTTCAGACAAAGATTTTTGGAGAGTGTTTTGGAAAGTGAATTCGCTGGGCTTGTTGGGATCCACTGCTGTGAACTGACAGTGTGCTCTAGAACACAACCAACACTCTTTTGAGCTGCATTGTGCAAGGGAAGAGCAGGAGTGTCTAGCAAGCCATCTTGGAGAGAAGCTTCTGTACTGTTCCTGACCTTCTCATTGAGGAATCTTAAAGAAGCTTCCAAAGCTACCAGTGTGGTCAAGCACAGAGTTTGAGAACTATTGTGTAACTGTTCTGAACAGAAAAATCACCAGGACAGCTTGTAACTCTAGTATTGTCCTTCTACATTTTAGACTGGAAGTCTGTAGGCAAGGATTGTCTCGTTTCTTATTGATCTTATGCAAGCTGTTCTGACAGTCTATTTGGGTGAAGAGGGAGCTAAAGGAACTTTCAGTAAATGAACAATCACTTCCACAGAAAATCAACCACTCTTTCTACCTGTTTCATTAGACTCAGTAATCTTCAAGTGTAGACTCCTAGCAATACTATAACACCACTCTCTTGAAGTCAGTTTTCAACTGACAATTCCTGAAGCTGCTATTCTCCACCAGCTGAGCAACATTCACTGCATTTTGGGGAGGGTGCCAGAAAGCCATACACTGTAACTTAGGATATAATCCTATGGCTGTTTAGACTGAACAATGTCCACCAGGTTCCAGCATTCTGGGACTTAGAGAATATTTTTTCTGTATAAGCATCCACAGGAGTGTGCTCTCATAAGGCTAGTGTATTGATGCAAAAAGGTAGGCAATTGTCATGCTGTCTCAGCAGCTGGGGGTTATGAACTCTGCCCATGTTCTGAGACCTCTTCTCTAAAGCACGCTGTTCAAAAGCAGGATTATGGTTAAAATTAAGGCTGCTGGCTATTTCATCACACAGTAGCTAACCATTCATGTTCATTATCACAGTTATACCACAGAACCTCTCACTTCCTTCCCTCATCTTTTATTAGCCCAGCCAGCCTCCTTCATTACTATGCCACCCAGACGTCTGGTCTGCTCAGCATCCAATCAGAATTTGGGTTCTTTTAAATATGAGAAATGATCTGTCTTTCAAATATTTTCCTCCATGAGTTTCCATTTCTGTTTATGTGCTCAAGTTAATCTCTGTAGGTAAACTTCTTGCTGAGGTTTGCTTGTTTGCAAGACATAAATGTGCGCTTTATGCTATCTGCTTATTACCTTTCGTTGGTTTGCTGTGAATTTAATTACTGTTTTGTCTTAAATTTAATTATAAATCACCCTGCTGTATATATATCAGGACAGACCGTGTATCATTAGCTTACATAAATACTGGAAGTGAAATCCCAAATAATTAGGGGAATCGTCCTATGGCCCCTAAGTATCTGAAGGGTCATAGGACAGTTCAGATTCTCAGATCTGTTATCAGACATAGCACTCAGGCCTCGGAGCTGCAAACTGTAGCTCCCCTGCCTCTCTGCAGCCAGTACACAGAGAACACTGCTGACTGTTTGAGGCTGGGAAACTGACCTGGGAGAGGAAGAAAAGGGGATGTTTTCATGGCAGCTGGGTGGGAGACTGGAGAGGCCAGCATATAATGTATCCTGCCGCTGCTCCAGTCTCCCATTTCTGAGATGCTCCTGCTAGATGGGTTTCCAGCCTCCGTTGCTCCTCCTGCTCTGCACTGGATGCTTCTGAGTGTACCCCAAGGGTGCTATCCTGTGCAAATTGCATGATTGGCTGGGGAAAACTTGGAGCTGTAAGGCTTTTCTCTCTTTCTAATCATATGGAGGATTGTGCCCTGAAGCAAAACAAGGTAGTGGGGCTTCTAGCTTGGCCAGGCCATGTAGTTGTGTGGTGTAGTGGTTAAGAGCATGGGACTGGGACTCAGGCGATCCGGGTTCTAGTCCCCACTCAGCCATGCAGCCAAATGGGTGACTTTGGGCCAGTCACAGACTCTCAGCCCAACCTACCTCACAGGGTTGTTGTTGTGGGGAAAAGATGGAGGAGGAGAATGATGTAAGCTGCCTTGAGCCCTTTACAGGAAAAAGGCAGGATATAAATCGAAAATAAATAAATTAGGCCACCAATTCAGCCCACCATTTCAGCTGCCCTAGGCTGCTTGCAATCACATTTTGAAACAATATCATAATAGACGTGCTGCTTAGAGTCTTGGACTGGGACTCAGGAAACCCACTTTCAACTCTTAAGCGCACTGGGTGACTTCTGGTCAATCATGGCCTCTCTACCTATCCTACTTCACAAGACTGTTGTGAGCATAGAACAGAGAGGAGGGTCATACAAACCACCTTGGATTATTTGTAGATCAATAAGTGGGCTATTAATGGAATTATAAATAGAATAAGTAAGAACAATAAGATCAACTTAAAAAAATACTTACCTACTTAATCCAAGATGTATCTGTGGGAGAGAGTAAGGAAGAAAAGGGTCATGGAGATTTCACTCAGCCAACTGTTGCGTAAGGCACAAGCTTCTGCACATGCTCAGAAGCACTCTTGGCTATGGAGGCTTTAACCGAGCAAGTGCCAGTTTGAAGGATTTACGAGGGAAAGGCGCTGTAGGGATGTGCTTCAGAAGGCCAATAAATCAGGACGGTCCCTGGGCTACGCTTTCTCCCACATGAAAGAATTAGGCGCCAATAGCTTCCTCTCGACCCCTTTTCCTGTCTGTCAGGCAGCAATCCTATGCAAGAGAGAAGAAAAAAACAAGCCTACAACTCCCAGCATGCCCGAGGCAGCGTAGCTATCTGGGGCATGCTGGGACTTGTAGGTCTTCCGACCCCGCCCAACCTTGTATGGGATTGCGCCCTCCGCCCGTCACTTCTCTCATGAAGCCCGCCCAGCATTCCCGCGCGCCAAAGCGCGTGCCCCCTACTCGCTGCCCCTCCCTTACCTGAACCTTCAACGGCCGCGCAACGCGTACACCAATGAGGGGCGGGGCTATCCTGAAAAGCACGCGCGCCACGGCAAAACGGAGGGCGCTTTTGTTGTTGTTTGGGCCCGCCTCCTACGCCATAGGCGGTGATTGGTTGCACCGTCCCGCCACTACAAGGCACACCTCTATTCGAGCCGCGAATTTCCGGAGGGCCTTGTCGCAGCTGAGCGAGAGACAGTATTGACGTCACGTGATTTCCCCTCCCCTCTTCTCCCGTCTTACGACTACCAATGACTTTTATTGATAGACTTACACGTAGCGGTCTAGCCTCCGAGTTTAAACTGGATTTTTTTGGAAGTTTGGAGGGTGTGTGGTCTGTCCCCAAGGTGGGAACTGTCTGAGAAAAACAGTAAGAAAATGTAGGAGTTTAGGGTATCTGTGACTGGGCATTAGCTTGTCTCCTCCCCAGTCTAAACTCCCCAAAGTAGCAACCTGTTTGTGTATTTCTTTCCCAGATCTCATTCAAGCAAAAATAGGAGATGTTTTTAAACTTTATTATTGCATTTCTATCTTCTTGCAAGGAACTGAAGGCAGTTTACATAATTCTCCATTCTATTTTATTCTCACAACAGCCTTGGGAGGTAGTTCAGACCAAGAGTCAGTGGCTGAGTTCAGGCAGCACGAGAACCCACGTTGCAACAACTCAGGTTCAACCTCTGAATGCAAGTTATTGCACTGTCTGAATGCAGCCAAGATAACAAGCCGTGCCTTGCTAACCACGAACTATCCATAAAGGGAACCCGTGGAGTTTTGTTGGGTTGCGAGCTGTGGATTGTTCGCCGTGGCTTGTTCTCAGAGCTGGGTCCTGTCCAGCTCTCTAACCGCCATACTACGGCAGCACCCGCACACCCCCCTTCGCATTGCTTGCCAAGTCTGTGTGCGATATCACACAGCACTCCAAAGTAGGAAGAAAAATAGTGTCAAAAGGAGCCTGGAAGCTCCGTATGTAAACCATGGGCACTGACCCTCTAAAACTCCTATCTCTGTGGTTTCTTCCAGAGCCCTTTGCGTTTTGTGCTTCACCTAGGTTGGGCGGGGGAGCGGATTTCGTTCTGTGGTTCCGCTTTTCAGCCACGCGGTGGCGCCGCTGCCCAGCTGTTGCCTCTTCTGCCTCTGAAATCGTTATCGGGGCGAGGGATTTATGAATGGGAGGTCGGGCGGGCGGGGTGGCGGTCCTCGAGCCCTTGGGCCCCTGTAGGGAGGAAGGAAAGCATGGGCATCTGCGGCTCCTTCCGCGAATGTTGGAGTACAACCCCATCACCTCTGATTGCTGGCTGGGGTTGATGGGAACTGGAGCTTAAGCAAATACGAAGGTCAAAGGTTCTCCTACCCTTGCCCTAAATATCTGCCACTTGTTAAAGGCACATGGTTTCAAATGTGGATGGGGAGAAACTTGCAATCCTAGCAAAGTAAAATGCCATTGCAATGGTAAATACTTGGAAACATTTAAACCATCAGTTAAGGGCATAATCCTGTGCAGGTTTGCAGGTGTATAGAGTCCTAGGAAGAAAGGTGGGATATAAATGTATTATTAATAGTAACTTCCATCACTCCACAGCCAGCTAAGACTTTTTTCTGCCTAAACCTGTACTTGCCAATTCTATATCTTGCTTTTTTTCCTGCAAGGAACTAAAGGCAGCTTGCATAATTCTCCTCTGTTTTATTCTCACAAGAACTCTGTGAGGTAGGCTAGGCTGAGAGTCTGTGACGGGCCCAAAGACACCCACTGAGCATCATGGGTCCATTTCCAGTGTGTCACAGAAGTAAAAGTTACAATGACAAGTTTTTTCCCACTTGCCTACCAAAGAAGGTGCTCAGAAGGAGGGGTGCGAATACGGTGCTGTGACACAGAAGAGGAGAAGGAGAATGTGCGAATGGCCCTTTCCTTGAGCTGCTGCCATCTGCCAAGTGCCAACTTGCTTTCTCTGGAATGGTGCCTGCTCAGCATCAGCTACATTTCAAGGATGCACACATGCCAATTTGCAGAAAAGAGGTTTTTTTCTCAGGCCTGGTTATGTGACAATGCTTGCATGATTTAACCAATGAAGTTGATGGATCTGTGCATCACACTCAAGGCACGATAAAGGAATCTTTCCCTCCTTTTGCTATCTTGTTATTCTCAAGTCATAACAACCTGATAAGGTTTCCGTGCAGCTTGTTGGGGGCATGACTGTCCTGAGTCCACCTCAATGGTGAGGGTTGATGTGAGGATATAAGGGTGTTCAGGTAATTTCCTAGGAGGAAGGCCGAGATTTAAGAAAAAGGTGTCTTGGACTGTAAAACTCTATATACATGCTACCTCCCCCAACCGTGCCTTATGAATCACTGAATGCTTAGGAACTTCATTGGCCTATAACTGAAAAAAATGTGGCAGGAAACAGCAATGACTCATTCTGTATGGGGGGGGGATTCAGACAGGTATGGTGGTTCTGTTAAAGTGGCAGGAGCATTTGTAGGGGTGTGAGAGAGTGCAAGAATGAAAGGGTTGCCTCCCCCTCCTTCTCCTTTCATTTCGATTATCCTAACCAAGTGGTGGCAAACCTATGGCACATGTACCACAGGAGGAGCACAGAGTCCTCTCTGTAGGCATGCAAGACAAGCCACCCCAGCAGCTGAACATCAGATAACAGTGCACATAGGGGCCTTGAGCATGCGTGGAAAGGGGTAGAGGGGCCAGCCGATGACGCCACTAGCCGCGACTCCTTAGATCCAACTTGACTGAGCATTCGCATGGCCGGTCAGGGCGCTGATATATATATAGGTGTATATTTGCTTGGACTGGCTGTGAGTTTTTTCCAAACTAAAACCTCAATTTCCAGGTTTTATTACAGTACTGTCACTTTGTGAAAAATACGTGGGTTTTGGGTCGCAGTTTGGGCACTTCGTCTATAAAAGTTTCCCCATCACTGGATTGGGGTTGGTAAAATGAGGTGTTCTGGTATGATTTTAATGGTTGGAATATGTTTACAAGGGGCAGAAACGATGAGCTGTGCAGAAAAAGCTCCTCAAGAAGGCTTTTCCAAACTCATCCTATTTTCAATGGAGGTTTAGCCCTATATTAGAGTTAGGGGTGTGCAGCAGGGTACGGTTAGGGTTAGGAAAACAAGGTGTCCTGGTAAGATTTAAATGGTGGGAATGAGTTTGGAATGGGAAGAAATGATGAGCTGCGCAGAAAAAACTTTCAAGGAAAGCTTTTTGGAAATTACCCAACTTTCAGTGGTAGTATAGCCCTATATGAGGGTTAGGGGTGGGCACCAGGGTAGGGATAGGGTTAGAAAAAGAGGTGTCCTGGTAAGATTTCAATGGATGGAATGTGTTTAGAATGGGCAGAGATAATGAGCTGGGCAGAAAAAACTCTCAAGGATTTTTCACAACCACCCTATGTTCAATGGAACTTTGGACCAATATTAGGCTTAGGGGTGGGCACCAGGGTAGGGTTAGGTTTAGAAAAACGAGGTGTCCTGGTAAAGTGTCAAAGGTTAGAATGTGTTTAAAATGGACAGAGATGATGAGCTGGGCAGAAAAAACTCTGAAGGAAGGGCTTTTTCAACAACACCCTATGTTCAATAGAACTTTAGCCCTATATTAGGGGTAGGGGTGGGCACTAGGGTAGGGTTGGGGTTAGAAAAACGTGGAGTCCTGGTAAGTTTTCAATGGTCTGAATGTGTTTATTATGGGGAGAAATGATGAGCTGGGCAGAAAAAACTGTCAAGGCAGTTTCAAAATCGCCCTATCTTCAATGGAACTTTAGACCTATATTAGGGTTAGAGGTGGGCACCAGGGTAGGGTTGGGATTAGGAAAATGAGGTGTCCTGGTAAGGTTCCAATGGTTGAACTGTGTTTAGAATGGGGAGAGATGATGAGCTGGGCAGAAAAAACTCTCAAGGAAGGCTTTTTCGGAATCGCCCTATGTTCAGAGGAACTTTACCCCACAATAGGGTTAGGAGTATGTACCAGAGAAGGGTTAGGGTTAGAAAAACGTATTGTCCTGGTAATTTTTCAGCGGTTGGAATGTGCTTAGAACGGGCAGAGATGATGAGCTGGGCAGAAAAAAGTCCCAAGGAAGGCTTTTTCGGAATCGCCCTATGTTCAGTGGAGCTTCACCACATAATAGGGTTAGGAGTGTGTACCAGAGTAGGGTTAGGGTTAGAAAAACGTGAAGTCCTGGTAAGTTTTCAATGGTTGGAATGTTGTTAGAACGGGTAGAGATGATGAGCTGGGCAGAAAAATCTCTCAAGGATGCCAAATGTACACACATTTACAGGACTCCCAAACTTTACAAATCAAATTTACAAAAAGAACTTTCTACAGAGTTCTCCTTGATAGGTTCATGCCATGCGTCTCACCAACATTTTCCACGTATGAGCGGTATACGTACATTACGTGATCGGGGCATGAGCCCCACTCAACCATGGCCACAATTTCCTCCACCGACTGGGTGGCATCCTCCCTTTTTCCTTGCGGCTCAACCAAAAGATCTTCTCTTGGATAAATTTGACCGAGCCGGCCACGTCAGCCACCTTTCGCATCTTTATCTCTCTGTGGCGTTGGAGCGGCAGCGCCAACAGAACGTACAGATTAATCAGCCTAATTGTGGACCACAGCACAGTCCAGTACGTCTTGGGAGCCGTGGCCTCTCTCCACTGCCACTTCCTGGGCACCCTCCTCCTGTGTCCCTTCAATGGAGGAGTGGGTTCTGTGCCAGACACGACCGATTCCCAGTCCTGGGAGCCCAGATCTGGCCAGTCCAGTGCTTCAGACACTGCCTTCCACGT